ACAACCTCCTCGTATCATGCGCCTTCTCCCCAGTTTCATCGGGCTCGTCGGTCTACGATTCGCACCCCCGTCATCCTCGGATTCCTCCTCATGGCGCCACTCCTGCCCGCGCCCACTCATACTCATCCTCGTTCACCGCCGTGTTTCTCTCCTTCTCTGTCTGGGGGTGCCCTCAATCGCCGCCTTTATTTCTCACCCAGCCCTTCCACCAGGCCAGGGGAAGGCGCTGGGTGGAAAATGAAGGGGGTCCACGCCATGCCTTCTGCCTGGGCAGATACCACACGCTCGACAAGACGCGCGCTGTCCACGCCCCGTCGCTCGTCGACAACATGGAGTTGGCCGCGCGGGTGCGCGAATGGGAGGAGAGGCCAGTGGGGAGATGTAGGATCGGAACGGTAGCGGAGAGACGTATGAGGATGAGGGGGCGCCATCATCCCCCACCCCCTCCTCCTCCGCCTCATCGCCCGCATCGTCATCATCCCCATCAGCCCATCATCAATGGCACCACCCCATCACCCTCCGCCCGTGGGCCATACCCAGCGACCATCCCACGTGGGTCTCACGTTACCTATTGGTGATATGCCCAACAGGTAACGTGGGACTACCACGTGAGATGGTCGTGACACTACACATCTCACGTGAGTCTCACGTGTGTATTTCGTGAGATGGTCATCTCACGTGCGTCTCACGTGTGCCCATCGTGAGATGTACACACTCACGTGAGCCGCACGTGTGATATACGTCGCACGTGCGCCGCACGTGAGACATACGTGAGATGTTGTAGTTTGTGAGTGCCTCACAGGTTTCCCTGCTGATCAAGCACCTCTCCGAGGTCGAGTGCACCTACAAGCAGATGCGCGAAGCGCTCCAGCGCTGCCTAGACAGGTTACGACGGACGTAAACCAACCACACATGATGCGAGCTTGGGGCGTGGATACGGGGGATTTCGGATGAGTGGGCGGCGGAGGGACACGAGGAGGAGGAAGCGGAGGAGGAGGAGGAAGAGAAGGAGCGGGAGGTTGTGAATGAGGGGAGGTGGATGAGGAACAGCAGGAGGATGGGAAGGACCAGGAGGAGTGGAAGGAGGAGGGGATGGTAAATCAGTCCCCCAACTCGCCCCTATGTGTATCGGCTTCGTTATCCTTATCCTCAGGTACCCCGCTGCCCACAAGGAGAGGAGCAACGTCCCCGCAGGGGACCGCGCGGGGAACTTGGCGGACAAGATGAACTGCATCCTCGTACACCTTCGCCGCCTGAGGGGCTCAGCTGCGCGGCGTCGGCAGGCCATTTGACAACGAAACGCGAGGGAGGCATTGCTATGCTTTGTTGGGGGGGGGGGGGGGGGGGGGAGCATTTCGACTGCAGCATGCCCGTCGCGATTCTCGCCCTTCGCTCAGAGGGGCGAGGACGGCGACGAATCCCCCAGTCGAAATCCCCCCCCCCCCCCCCTCTCCCCCCCCCCCCCCCCCCCCCCCCACCCACCCACGCACACACACCACCCCCCCCCCCCCCCCCCACACACACACACACACACACACACACACACACACACAACACACACACACACACACACACACACACACACACACACACACACACACACACACACACACACACACACACAACAAAGCATCTCGGCTTCATCCCTGACGTTTCCATTGTCAGGCTCTCGGGCAATGCTCCAGGCTGCAATCCTTGAAGTTGCTGGACATATGCCGCCAGCTGGGTGTCAAGGACTGCAGTCGGGTGGGTAAGAGATCGATGCGGGTTCGATGGTGAGGTATGTCGACGTCAGTTTGTTCCCAACCAACCTGTGCTGTTGGGTCCTCGTTTGCAGAGACGGTCCCCGCGTTCCTTCCTCCTTCCTCCGTCCGTCTTCCTCCTTTCTCCTCCGTCCTCCTTCCTGCGCCCGTATGCGGTTCCACCTCCCATTCTGGCACACCCCTCACACGTGTCGTGGCCCCATCGGGAGCTCCACCGAAGGCCCCAGTGGCTGCGCCCGCATGCGGTTCCACCCCCCCCCCCCCCCCCCCCATTCTGGCACACCCCTCACACGTGTCGTGGCCCCATAGGAGCTCCACCGAAGACCCCAGTGGCTGCGCCCGCATGCGGTTCCACCCCCCCATTCTGGCACACCCTTCACACGTTTCGTGGCCCCATAGGGAGCTCCACCGAAGGCCCCAGTGGCTGCGCCCGCATGCGGTTCCACCCGCATTCTTGCACACCCTTCACACGCTTCGTGGCCCCATAGGGAGCTCCACCGAATGCTTCAGTGGCTGCGCCCGCATGCGGTTCCACCCCCCATTCTGGTACACCCCTCACACGGTTCGTGGCCCCATAGGGAGCTCCACCGAGGCCCCAGTGGCTGCGCCCGCATGCGGTTCCACCTCACCGTTTCGTGGCCCCATCGGGAGCTCCACCGAATGCCCCAGCGGCTGCGCCCGCATGCGGTTCCACCCCCCATTATGGCACACCCCTCACACGTTTGGCGTGGCCCCATGCGGTTCCAGGGGCACACCCCTCACACGTTTCGTGGCCCCATAGGGAGCTCCACCGAAGGCCCCAGTGGCTGCGCCCGCATGCGGTTCCACCCCCCATTCTGGCACACCCCTCACACGTTTCGTGGCCCCATAGGGAGCTCCACCGAAGGCCCCAGTGGCTGCGCCCGCATGCGGTTCCACCCCCCATTCTGGCACACCCCTCACACGTTTCGTGGCCCCATAGGGAGCTCCACCGAAGGCCCCAGTGGCTGGCTGCGCCCGCATGCGGTTCCACCCCCCATTATGGCACACCCCTCACACGTTTCGTGGCCCCATAGGGAGCTCCACCGAAGGCCCCAGTGGCTGCGCCCGCATGCGGTTCCACCCCCCATTCTGGCACACCCCTCACACGTTTCGTGGCCCCATAGGGAGCTCCACCGAAGGCCCCAGTGGCTGCACCCGCATGCGGTTCCACCCACCCATGTTGGCAAACCCTCACACGCTTCGTGGCACCATAGGGAGCTCCACCGAAGGCACCAGTGGCTGCGCCCGCATGCGGTTCCACCCCCTCATCCGGCACACCCCTCACACGCTTCGTGGCCCCATAGGGAGCTCCACCGAAGGCCCCAGGGTTGCGCCCGCATGCGGTTCCACCCCCCATTCTGGCACACCCCTCACACGTTTCGTGGCCCCATAGGGAGCTCCACCGAAGGCCCAGTGGCTGCGCCCGCATGCGGTTCCACCCCCCATTCTGGCACACCCCTCACACGTTTCGTGGCCCCATAGGGAGCTCCACCGAAGGCCCCAGTGGCTGCGCCCGCATGCGGTTCCAGCCCCCATTCTGGCACACCCCTCACACGTTTCGTGGCCCCATAGGGAGCTCCACCGAAGGCCCCAGTGGCTGCGCCCGCATGCGGTTCCACTCCCAATTCTAGCACACCCCTCACACGCTTCGCGGCCCCACAGGGAGCTCCACCGAAGGCCTCAGTGGCTGCGCTCGCATGCGGTTCCACCCCCCCATTTCGGCACACCCCTCACTCGGTTCGTGGCCCGTGGGCGCCACCGAGGAATGTATCCACAATTGCGGTATTCACAACTACGTATGGTAGGGTCTTTCGTCAGGCTAATTTTTCTGGCGCATGATTCGGGCGCTCAGCATATGCATGTGTTAGGTTGGGAGGAAGTGGGTTGGCGAGGGCGTTGGCGGTGGGTCGCGAAGTTCATGGGGAGGGCGATGAGGAGGACGCGGGTGAAGATGACGCGGGGGATGGAGACGAGGAGGACGGATGGGTGGACGAGGGGACATTGAGAGAAGGAGAAGGAGGAGGAGGAGGAGTAGGAGGAGGAGGAGGAGGAGGGGGGATGGGAAGGAGGAGGAGGAAGAGGAAACTGAGTAAGATGAGGAGAAGTAAGATGAGAGGGATGCGGGGGGCGACGATGCGTTGTAAAGCTTGAGCGACAGGACGACGGCGACGCCTCCTGGTACGACGGCACCGACGACATCCAGCCCAGCGACCAGACAGTGACGCGCTGCTCCTCGTGGCACGACACTGGTCGCCAGACGCGCGACTACGACACCGAGACCTCGTGGCACGACAGCGGCGACAAACAGACGCACGACTATTATGACACCGAGACCTCGTGGCACGACAGCGGCAAGCAGACGCGCGACTACTACTACAACACCTCGTGCTACGACCGCGGCAAGCAGACGCACGACTACTACAAGACCTCGTGGCACGACGACAGCGACCGCACGACGCACGACTACTACAACACCTCGCGGCACTACGACGACCGCGCCGTGACCAAGCACTGCTCGCACGACCTCGGGGAGGTGGAGATGAAGGACCCGCCCCCTGGGTTCGGATTGGCGGTCCTCTCTCACGCGTGGTCTCGTCACTCGTCATCGTCCCCCCGATCGCTCGCCCTCAATCCTCCGTCGAACTTGTTCGACCTCCATCGGAATCCATTCGCCCTCTCCCACGTATCAAACACGCATGAGGTCGTGCGATAACGGCCCTGCCTTAATCGATACGTATCGACATGTGTTACGTTGGCCCTCCTTCCACCCACCATATCACACCGCAACATCTCCCCGCCATACCTCCACTCCTGCATCACCCGACGTTCGATGTAGTCACGCATTCATATGATGCATCCTAAATCTCATCGCACATGCCCCGTCAATCACCATCACTCGCCCTCACCGTGACCACGTTCACCCCCGCCCCCCCCCCCGCCCTCCCTTACTTCGCTGCCACTGCCCCCCCTGTGTGCCATCCCTCCTCCCACTGCCACGTCGCCCCTCTAACGTTCTCGTCCCTCTCATCCCTCGTGAGTAGCTCACTCTCATATTCAATGTTCCTGGACTCCTCCTCTCCATCCGCCTCCCCCCCTCATCCGCGTCATCCTCCTCCGTTCGCAGCCATTTTGGCCAGCTGGTTCGACTGCGATCCAGCACTTCTCACTCTCGCCCCGGCTGCTCGATCGAGCAGCGTGGCGACGGCAGCCATGCAGGCGCTCGAGACCTCTTTCGTGCGGACGAGATGGGCGGAGCTCCTGCGCGGCGTCAACCACGAGCTGTTCGACACATTTCGCCAGCTCTTGCCACGGGCAGCGATTGCATCGGCGAATACTGCACAGCGGGACATGCACTGCCTGCAGTTGTTCGGAGGCCAGAGCGGCGCGCACCAGGTGACGAACTCCGTCTTCGCGAGCGGCTTGCAGGGCTTCGTGTGCGACGACCTCGGAAAGCCCCCCGGCGCCGCCAGCTCGGACGCCATCAAGTGGGCGCTGCGCGCCCAGCAGCGCGGCTCGGCGTGGGTGGTCATGACGGCCGCGGCGCCACCCGCGCCCGCCATTGGGCTCGCCATATTGTGTTGGCTGAGGGGTGCTGAGGTGTGCGTGACGGCGCGCTCAGGTCAGACTGCGCCAGTGTGGGATGCCATGGCCCGCACGATCACTCCGATCTCGTTCACCACGTGCATGGGCGCGTTTGGCGCTGGGGAGCCGCTGTCGACCAACGTGATCACCAGCACTTGTTTTTTTTTCAGGGGCCTCGAGAAGGACCTTTTACCCTCCTACCCCTCCCCGCGCCCCTCCTCCCCCTCTTCGTCCTCATCCCCCGCATTTACCATGCCTGATCATTGTAGTCTTCCTCTTCCTCCTCCTTAGTTATCCCCCTTCTCCTCCCCCTCCCCCTCCCCCTCCTCCTCCTCCTCCTTATGGCGAGGGCGAACCGCGCGAGCCGACCGCGACGCCGACGAGGTGCCACGCGTGCGGTTGGTATACCCCAGAGTTTTGCACCGCGTTCGCGAACATTGTGAGCGAGATATGGCAGAGCCGAACGCTCGGAACGCTCCCAGAGTTGTTCGGGCAGCCCTACACCAGCGCGAGGAGATCGGTCGCTGGGTCGGGAACTGGAGGTAGTCGACTGGGGGCCTCGAGGAGTTGCGTCGCGCGCTAAATGCAGTATACGCACGCGCGCGCATTGACGCACATGTAAAACATGACAAGCGCACGCACATGCCAACATAACGTATCACAAACACGTTAATACGCACGATCGCATATAGCGTGGACCGCACGGGGGGAGAGGGAAGGAGGAGGTGGAGGATGAGGAGGAGGAGGAGGAGGAGGAGGATAATGAGCATGATGATGAGGGGGGAATAGGAGGAGGAGGAAATGGAGGATACGGATAACGATTATGATGCGGAGGAGTAGGAGGAGGGGGCCCCCCCACTACCCAACCCCCCTGCCCCCAGTCGACGCGAACTGGTTCCCTCCCTGCCGCGGCCCGCAGGATCGAGCCCAGCAGTTCACGGCGCGAGAAGTTCCCGTCGGTCGGCGACGCATCCACTGATGTCGGCACAGCTTCTGATGTTGGCGCGCTCAGCGATCTCGGCACACCTGCGCCAAAGCGCCGCAGGCTTTTCTCGAAGACGCCCGACGCGCATCGCTGTATCGTTTCTCCCTCGAGCGTGGCCAGCCCGACCGCCACGACGCCTCCGCCTCCGCCTCCGCCTCCGCATGCCCCTTCCGTGCCTGGCGACGCTGAGGACGACGACCACCTTGCAGAGTTGGCCATGTGGCTTAAGCTCGGTTATATTGATTTAGGAGGTACGCTCAGGAGGAGCAGGAGACGGAGGAGGGTATATGGAGGATCGGCAGGAGCCCACTCTCTAGCTTACATCGCGGGTCCGACGGGGCCGGATTGGCTCATAATGTTTGCGGGCGGCTGCGTGTTGCGCAGTTTGCTCATGTCGAGTGCATTGGCCTGACACGTTTCGATCAGAATACTTACATGCCGATGTATGGTGCTTGCGAGTATCTCTTGACACGCACGTTCGCTTCTGTTTAACGCCGATGGGGTGTGCCACCGCGGCATACGTCGTGCCTGGGATGTATGCGCGTCGTGGTCGACGTTATGTGTGCAGTTTCAAGGCTGGCCGCTGTCGCGCCTCCAGCCTTCGCGAAGCACAGTCGTTGTGCGCAGATTGTGAAAACATTTGTGAAACGATGTCTGATCAAAGCGAGGTGCCCCACATACTACGTGAAAGTTACCACATGTAGATCAGGCAGGTGAGGCGGGAGAGGATGATGAGGATGATGATGATGATGAGGAGGAGGAGGAGTTCGAGTCATATATGTAGTTGTGTAACTGGTAATGTAGGCGATCATGAGGTGGTGCGCGATATACGTAGGGTAGCGATGAACAGTTCAAATATATCTGCCGTTTGACTCACTCGGATTCGGACCAGACATATGCACGTGCGAGATCGTGTATATTCATACCACGACCCACCAGCGTTTAGAGAATAACCTGTTCAGGCACAGTCACGTTTAAGTGGTCGATCGATTGCGCTATCATACCCACTCGCGCTCAGATGCTCGAGCCCCGACCCCCCTCGCCCGCGCGTAGGCTGTATCGCGCTCATAAGTTCAGTTGGTGAGCTCTCAAGCATACTCGCGCACGCATGTTCGAACCTCCATCCACCCCATCCCTACTCAGACATACTCGCGCTCACGCGTTCGACAATGCAACCCTACATTCATGGTCAGACTCGCCCGTCATTCCCACCCCCATGGGAAATCAGATTATGTTCGTTAGCGTTACCCTTCGAACACACATATATATATATGTATATCCAACATGTCGGTTCGACCCCGCGCACGCCCCCCCATCTCGTCTCCCGACTGTTCGCTCTGCGCGGCGCCAGGAGATGAGCAAATGGCTGGCGGAGGGCGCCAGCGAGAGCGACGACGAGGCGGACATCGTCGCGAGGGCCCTGGCGACGGACGCGGTCCCTGGGCGGAAGCAGTGGCTTAAGGCCATGCATCGATTCGCTGTCGATATCATATCGCGTATCCCTCATCCTCCTACTCCGTCTCCTCATCTGCCTTCCCCCCATCATCACCCGTATCCTCATCCCTCGCCCGAACCCCCCTCGCCCGCCTCTTCTTCGCAATCCCCCGTCCACATCCGCCGCCGCCCCGCCACCATCCCACCACTCCCTTCCCACCCGCCCCCATCCGACAATGTTCCCATATCGGCCTAATGTGTTACGCGTTCACCTTCCCAATATGGCCGAGAATCCCGCACGCCCCCATGCGTGCTCATTCGGTGCGATCATGTCTTCAGAGGCTGAACGCGTCGCAGTCAAGGAGACGGCCAAGCGCGCGTCCAAGGCCGAGACTGCCAAGGCCAAGGTCACGACCAAGGCCGCGGCCAAGGCCACGGCCAATGCCAAGGCCAAGGCCAAGGCCAAGGCCAAGGCCAAGGCGAAGTGCACGACATCTGGCGGTGACCTCCCGCGCAAGCTTCCCCACCCGTCTTTAGGTTTCTTGAACGCGGTGTACGCAGCTGGCAAGTCGTATCTCCTGGCCCCTGGCGACGACGCCAAGTTGCACTTATTTCTCGAGGTTCGCGAGAAGCATACGTGCGATCACGCGAAGGTGTGCGCGCAGATTATGCGCCACAGCGTGAAGCACAATTTGACAAAGCCAGACGCCATCGCCTATCGTGCGAAGGTGCTCAAGCTGTGACATGTAGGTATCATGTTGTTTTTAGTTTTGGGGCGTGCACGCATGTGATAAGCCATGGCGCTGGCGTGTATTTCGTCACCAGCGGACCGACCATGGCCGATCCGTAGTCAGTCGAGTGGTGCACGGCCTCGATCGGGGCGTGGCAGTGTGTTGCGTGGGATATTATCGGCGACTTGCGGTCGGTTCGAAACGATGTTCGAACATTAAGCTCCACGTCACCTCCAACCTCCATGTCGTTCCATCCCGATACACGCCGTCATCATCAACATTCACATCGTAGTACATCCCCACGGGTCAATATCTCCTCCACGTCGTCATCCTCAGCCGCACGTGACATCATCATCTGTTGTCATCGCCCACCCCAGTCCAGTTCCACGCCGTTCAAGCGCATCGACGCGCGACGGACAGGGTGGAGTCCATGGTACAGCCCGATGTCGCGAAGTTGTCGGGTTCGTCGGGGGGACTTGGGGAGTGAACCATATAGGCGTATATGGGAAGCTGTGATGTCATGTGAGAGAGGGGCCTGGACATGCGAGGCCACGTGTAACACATAGGTGACAGGGATTGGAGACCGTGTGACTCGATGTGTGAGATACATATTGTATGTGTTTGGGATGTGTGCATGTGAAGATGAACATGATAAGCAATGCGTGGTGATATACGTGTAATGCGACACATGGTGACACACGTGCACCACACGCACAATACCATACATGACACTCCACATGATCAACCACACGCGCAACATCATACAATGTACACCCACATGTAGTCACGTTATGAATTAACCACCCGATCAGTACATACGTGAATTGTTAATCATACAATTCGAGCGTCAATGGTACACGCCAAGTCAGAATTAGGTTATACACATAATCTCACGAATATCTCACGTGTGTCACACGTGAGATGTACATCTCACGTACGTCTCACGTGTGTCTCACGTGAGACGAAAATCGTCTCACGTAAGACGTACGTGAGATTTTGATCTCACGTGGGACCCACGTGAGATGTTCGTGAGATATATGGCGTTTGACCGTGCCGTTGTATGTGTGTCCATCTCGCATACTGTACGCTACAATCGGGTGAATACAGCTTACATGTGGAGTCTGAATTGTGCCAATGTGTACTTATGTGGTGCATCGAAAATGATAACACTGTCGACATCGGCGTTGTTCGCAGCCGTTCTGGGTGGTTCTGGTTAACCCTCGGTGTTGGTGTGCGGACCTCTGAGGTCCTCTCGCACTGTACGAACCACCGTCCAGGGACCTTTCGGACCGTGGCTGCCATGGCGAAACCAGCGATGAAGAGCACGCTGGCCAAGGGCGTCCGTGGCGTCAAGGTCGCCACCCGCAAGCCAAGCAAGGAGTCCGACCAGGGTAATTAATATCATATAGTTATCCTTCTCGCTGCACCACATGTGTACACAGTACTGCTGTTCCCACCAGCTAGGATGGTGCTCCCCTCAAGCGCCCAGCTGCTGCCGCTGACGATGATCCCCGTGCTGCGCGCTCGACGTTCATCGTCGTGTACAGCGAGAAGCTGGCGCGTTTGTCGGAGATGGCGTCGGGTATGGACATGGACGCCAAGATTGAACTCTTCAGGACGTGTGGTTTACAATCGTGTGTTGTTTCGATACACGTCGGGTCCATGGTATATGGCACGGTATGTGGCACGCATTCGGTGCATGCGAGGGGGAATGCTATGTCGAGTTGCACCCGTGTCTGCCCTGGGTCGTGGCGTTGAACAATCCACGCTGCACGTCGTTGTTGTGGGTGGCAATGTACCAGTTGTTCATACGTCACCGCCCCGCTACCAGGAGGGAGGGCGACCCCGAGGACCTGCACCAGCTTAAGGCGATCTTTTCGCCAGACGAGCTCAGGAAGCTCTACGGGCGCTTCCGCACGGCCCGCAGGAGCAACCCCGAGGTGGATGAGCACTACGAAGCGGTTCGCACTAATCTAACACACAGCGTTACC